GTCTGCTGCAGATCTGAACAGCAGGTGCCTCAGGTACCGGGACAGTCCTAAAAGACATTGTTTCCTTCAGACAAGTGGTTTGTACCAGACACCTCCTTGTTCCTGCACTCGGCCTTGTCATTGCTGCCAGGAACAGACCCCAGCACTCCAACAAGCAAGGTCTCTGCACAACACAGGAACAACCGAAAGAGGCAGAAAACAAACTCCTGGATCTGGTTCACTGTGTCCTTCAACACTTCAGACATTGCAAACAGCTGTGCCAAAAGCTGAATTGGAAGGGGAGGAGGCTCAGAGCCACCATCTCCTGTAAGCTGTTAAAAAACACTGAACCCTTTGCAGACATGAAGGGCTTCCCAAAGCTCCTTCATCTTTCCAGATTTGTGCACAGTGATGGTTTTGTTCTTTTCCTGAGCCTGCCTGCTCAGCTCTCCACAGCTCCCCCAAAGTATCTGAGGGCCTTCTTTCCCTAAGGCTGCTATTGGAGAAAAACCTCAGAAAAACTCGTCCCACTTTACTCGTAGTTTCTACCAGATCAAAGGATCTCAGTTTTTCAGGAAAAGATCCCAATGAAGAAACAAGGGCTAAAGAATATCCATATCCACACTTCAAACTTGTGGTGGGCTGGGGGCGGGGAGCGGTCCCTGCTCTTCCTGGCGGTGCAGGGAGAGCGGCTCCGGCGGGCAGAGTTCTCCCCAGTCCATGTGCGCCCGGCGACAAACCCTCCGTGCGCCCCGCGGGGAACAGCAAAGTTCCCGGGGCCGACCCCACGCACTCGGCACGGGCGGGGACCAAAAGCTCGCCCGGGCCCTGATCGAGGGCTCAAAGCCCCGCCCACAGCTCATGAATATGCAGCAGGGCGGGACATTTGCATCCCCTGGGACGGCCCATTGGTGGGGCGGCGGCCAATCAGGCGCCAGGGGCAGAGGGTGGGGGCGGGGCCGAGGCCTTGGAACAAAGCCTTGGAAATCTTTGATCCACACACGGGATGACTGGAACCATCACTTACATCAGGGTTATCTCTACCTGCTGTCTTTGTGTCGTCTGACATCTAATGCGTGGGTTTTAAAACAACAGATTAAAGGGGTTGCACTTTCTAAAGGTGCAAGGAACACTCAATTCAACCCTCACAGCTGAATAAATAACACTACAATAAATACTGACATCAGAAAAGCATCTCTTTTACGTCCTGAAAACCAGAAAAGGGACTTTCCACATGGGTGTCCTGTCATCCAGAACTATTAGGGAAGAATTTGGCACAGAATTAATACCGGAGAAAAATGAGACCAGTGAAACCTCCTGAGCTCAGGAGAACCTGACTGTGCTGGGGAATCAGAGCTTTCCCCCTGGAAAATGAACTGCTCTGAAAGAGTGGGAAGAAACCAGGAACAAAGGTTGAGTTCAAATGCTCCAGAGTCACCAAGTCCTTCCTCACCAAAAGGTCTGAGCTCCCCTTAACTCATCTCTAGACATCCCTGGAAATAAAACAGCCTGACCTTGAACCCAAGGGAAACAAAGACAAATTCCACGGCTTTAGCTGGAGCAAGGTTGGAGGGGGGATGTGTCACTCCTCTATGACATCACATGTTCCCTGTGACATCACATCCTTCATGTGACAACACACCTCCTCTATAACATCACATCCATCATAGGACATCACACTTCTCCTGTGATACCTTATCATCCCGGTGACATCACATCCTCCCCTGTGACATCACATCCTTCCTGTGACATCACACCTCTCATGTGACATCACATCTCCTCTATGACCTCACAACAATCATATGGCATCACATACTTCCTGTGACATCACACTTCACCTGTGACATCACAGCTGATGTCACATCCATCATATGACATCACACCTCTCCTGTGATATTATATAATCCCTGTGACATCACGTCCTCCCCTGTGACATCACATCGTCCCCATGACATCACAGCTCCCCTGTGATGTCACATCCTCCTCGAGGCATCACATCCTTGTTGTGATATCAAGGTTCCTCTATGATGTCACATCCATCATATGACATCACACCTCTCCCGTGATATCATATCACCTCTGTGACGTCATGTCCTCCCCTGTGACATTCCACTCTCCCCGTGACATCACATCTCGTCTATGACATCACATCCTTTCTGTGACATCACATCTCCCCTATGACGTCACACCTCCCCATAACGTGACAGCTTCCCTGTGACATTACATCTCCCCTGTGACATCACACCTCTCCTGTGATGTCATATCATCTCTGTGACATCACGTCCTCGCCTCTGTCCTTCCCATGACAGCACAGCTCCCCTATGACATCACATCCTTGTCATGACATCAAGGGTCCTCGATGACGTCACATCCATCCTATGACATCAGACCTCTCCTGTGATATAATCCTTGTGACATCACATCCTTCCTGTGACATCACATCACTCCTGTGATATCATATCATGCCTGTGACATCCCGTGCTCGCCTGTGACATTACATCTTCCCCTGACATCACACCTCCCCTGTGACATCACATGCTTCCTGTGACATCACTTCTCCCCTATGATGCCACAACCATCATAGGACATCACATCTCTCCTGTGATATCATATCATTGCTGTGACGTCACGTCGTCTCCTGTGACATCACATCCTACTTGTGATATCACAGCTCCACTGTGATGTCACATCCTTCCTGTGACATCACAGCTCCCTTATGACATCACATCCATCCTATGACATCACATCTCCCCTGTGACATCCAGATCCATCCCAAGGTTGGGGGTGTGTGAGACAGGCAGAACCACAAATGCCTGCACAGCCCAGAGCAGTCAGTGTGGGGCTGTGCTTGCTGCTGCAGAGACCCCCAGGGAAAAAACCCAGGAGGGAGTTTGGGGGGGTGTCCCTAAGGAGGACACTTGACTTGTTATTGCTTATTATTTGTAATATCTTATAGATCTATCATACAACACCTAAGGATGGATTCTATAGAATATGTGCCATAGATATTTGGGTTGGCTCTGGCTGAGCTGCAGTTCAGTTCCCCACAGCAGCCCTCCCAGGGCTGGGCTTGGCATTGGCAGCTGGAAGGGGGTTGAGAACACCCCAGTGTTTTGGCCACTGCTGAGCACAGCACCAACACTGGGACATTCCTTCCTTAGCTGAGGGCAAGAGCCTGGCAGGGGACCCAAGTAGGCCAGCTGAGCCCAACTGACCCAAGGGACATTGCAGACCATGGGAGGTCAGCTCAGCTCTAAAAGCTGAGGCACGGAGCAGGAGGGGGGCATTCATTGTCTGATGGCTGCCTGCTGAGGAACCCTCACAGGTACCCAAGCCCTGCTCCTCGGGAGTGGCCGACCATGGCTGCTCATGGGAAACAGAGAACAAACCCTGCTGCTGTCTTTGTCTTCTGCACCCGCAAGCTTCACTTTGCTCTTTAAACAAACTGCCTCATCCCAACCCAGGGGTTGTTTTTTTTTTCTACCTTACTCTCTCCCCTGTCCCGCTGGGCAGGCGAGTGATAGAGCAGCTGGGTGGGCACCTGGTGTCCAGCCAAAGTCAACCCACCACACACCAGAACACTTCCAGAGACTCCACCACCTCCCTGGGCTACTTGTTCCAATGCCTGAACACTCCCTCAGTGGAAAAAGGTTTCTTTAATATCTAATATGAACCTTGCCCAATGCAATTTAAGGCCATTCCCTCACAACCTTTCACTACAGCCTTGGCAGAAGAGACAAACCCCCACCCCACTAAAAACCTCCTTTCAGGTCATTGCAGAGAGCAATGAGGTCCCCCCTGAGCCTCCCCTTCTCCACACTCAACCAGCCCAGTTCCCTCAGCCGTCCCTCAGCAGACATGTTTTCCAGAGCCTTCCCCAGCTCCGTTCCCTTCTCTGGACACGCTCCAGCCCCTCAAGGGCCTTTTGCACTGGGGGGCCAGAACTGGACACAGCACTCCAGGTGGGGCCTCCCCAGTGCCCAGCACAGAGGGGCAATCAGTTCTCTGCTCCTGCTGGCCACACTCTTCTCCACAAAGGCCACGATGCCCTTGGCCTTCTTGCCCCCTGGGCACACTCTGCCTCATATCCAGTCTCTGTCAAGCAGCACCCCCAAGTCCCTTCCTGCTGAGCAGCTCTCCAGCCCCTCTGCCCCCAGCCTGGAGTGTTCCAGGGGGTTGTTGGGACCCAAGGGCAGGCCCTGACACTTGGCCTTATTGATCCAGCCTGTCCAGATCCCAGAGCTGGAGGCAGCTCTGCAGGTGGGGCAGCATTACAGCCACGCATGTTCCAGCAAGGACATGGTGGAACCTCGTGGAACCAAGGACCACTGTGACACTGCAGGGCCTTCTGGAGCCAAAGGAGCCCTGGGACACTGGGGAATCTCATGGAATCAAGGCAGCACTGTCACCCTGGGAAACCTCCTGGAATTCAGGGCCCATTGTGACACTGCAGGTGTCACACATGGAACAAAAGGAACCCTGGGACATCATGGAAACTCCTGGAACCAAGGGACCATTGTGACTTTGAGGGGGCTGATGGAATCAGGAGGCCATTGGGACAATCCAGGGCCTCATGAAATCAAAGGAATTCTGGGACACTGTCAAACCTCCTGGAACCAAGGGTTCCTGCTGACATGTGCGTCCTCCTGGAACCAAGGGAGCCCTGAGATATTTCTGAACCTCCCAGAATCCAGGGGCCACTGTGACCCTGCAGAACCTCCTGCATTCCAGTGGTCCTTGTGAAACTGCAGGATCTCCTGGAACCCAAGGATTCCTGGAACACTGCAGAGCTCATGGAACCAAGGGGCCACTGTCCCACTGCAGCTCCTTCTGAAGCACAAGGGGCCCTGGGACAGTGGGAAACCTCTGAGAATCCAAAGGGCATTTGGGGACTGCAGGGCCTCATGGAACTAAAGGAACCTTTGGAGACTGTGGAAGCTCATGGAATTAAGGGGCCATTGGGACATGTGGGGCCTCCTGGAACCAAAGGAACCCTGAGAGTTTCTGTGGGAACAAGTTAAGGCAGCAGCAGCTGCATTCAGTTAATCAGGATGAACAAGGAGTGTTTTGGCCCTGACTGGTGTTTTCCATCCAGAGAGTGCTGTTTGCCAAAGTGGAAACCACTTGGAACACTCTGCATGGCAGCCTGTGTTTTTCTCTGGTGGCTGAACAGAGCCAGCACATGAGGGGAGGGGAATGTGTGGGATCAGGGCACTGCTTTGGGGCCATGCTGGGAATTCCAGTGGACTAAAAGACAAAGCCCAGGTGCTGTTTCCAAAGGAACCCCAATGAAAGGCGGACGGGGAAAGATGGGAGGACAAGTCCCACAAGGGAACTCTGTGTGTGCAGCCTCATTTTCTCCTTCAGCACCCAAAGGAGAGGAAGCAAAAAGTGGGGGTTTGAACCCCAAAATTTTTTTGAGGGGGAATTGGGGATTGAGGAGACAGTGGGAAAGTGGGAGGAACAGGGAGAAAGGTGGAAAAGGGGGGGTGGTCTGGTGGGTCTGATGGTCCCATGGGAGTCTTTGGGCACAGGGGGGTTGGGAAAAGGGGGGTGGCCCCCCTGAGCTCCCAACTTCCTGTGGGGTGCTGGGGGCTGCTGGATCCAATCTCAGCCTTGCATTATGCCAACACTTTCAGTTTAGAGGAATTACAGAGGTGTGACTGAACCACTTTTGTCCCCCAGGTTTTAATGATGGCAAATCAGATCTATTGATAGAAATTAATTGTTATAGGTTACAAATAACCAGACAAAAGATCTTCATCAGAATTATTTACTGCACAATACAAACACTAAAACTACCAGGAGTACAGGATAAGATAGGACAGTGCTCTACACTAAAGCAATCGTTGAAGCAATTCTACTAAAGCTGGCACAAAAGCAATAATTCTTAGTTACAGATGGATGGAACTCCCCCAGACCAACACTCGGGGGGAGATCTCTGCTCTTAACCTCCAGCAGTGACCTTGGGGGGTCCCCAGCCAAGGCAGGAATCTCCACACACCCCCCCGCAAGGAGGATTCTGTTGGCAGAACCTGCCCTTGGGAAAGGGGACTGGCCCTTTGTGGTCAAAAGGGATGGACTGACAGTCACTGGACTCCAGGGTTGCCTCCAAATCAGGGGGTTCATTCGGGGTAGAAGCACAGACCAAAGCTCTTCCTGCAGTTGGGGCACCCTTACCGGTGGGTCCGTTGGTGTCTGGTCAAGTTACTGCTCCGGGTGAAGCTCTTCCCACACTCCCCACACTTGTAGGGCCTCTCCCCGGTGTGGATGCGCCGGTGCCTGATGAGGGTGGAGTTCCGGTTGAAGCCCTTCCCACAGTCACTGCAGCAGAAGGGCCTCTCATCCGTGTGTGTCTGCTCATGGCTGAGGAGATGTGAGCTGGTCGGAAACCTCTTCCCACATTCCAAGCACTTGTAGGGCCGTTCCCTGGTGTGGATGCGATGGTGGCGGATCAGGATGAAGTTCTCCCTGAAGCTCTTCCCACATTCCCCACACGTGTAGGGTCGCACCCCAGTGTGGATCATCTGGTGTCGGATCAGGCTGGAGCTCTGCCTGAAGCTCTTCCCACATTCCCCACACGTGTAGGGCCGTTCCCCAGTGTGGATGTGCTGGTGCTGGATGAGGCTGAAGCTCTTCCTGAAGCTCTTCCCACATTCCAAGCACCTGAAGGGCTTCTCCCTGTTGGGAGGCTGCTCAGGGACCACCAGCTCAGAGCTCTCCCTCAAGCTCCGGCCGCCTTCCCGGCACAGGCTGGGTTTTTCCTCCTCAGAGCACCCTGGGCTGGCTTTGGAGCCCCTCCTGCGGGGGGATCTCCGGCCCTTTTCCTCC